ATAGTAGGCTTGAACTCTTTTTCTGTCTCAGTCATCATTTCCTTTGTTTCTCTGAATTCACTACCAAGGTCACTGAGACGTTCTGGCATCAATAATTCTACCTGATTTTTGTCCTTGGTTGTAGAAACTACTTGCTCTCTTCCAAATTCAGCATCATTTTCGCCCTTGACGGTAGCCCTCTGAGTATAAAGCTGCTCTTGCTCCTCCACAAGCGAGACACTTTCTGCATCCTCCAACAGGAGGCTTCCAGGTTCCACCACTACCTCCCCATTTTCCAAAGCAGTTCTGGGTGGCAGGTCTTTTTCACTTTGTTCTTTTGAAGGAGCAAATTGAAACTCAAGCTGCTGCAAAGTCAAACCATTGCAAGGCTGTCTTTCAAGAGCTGCACTCTCCTCTGTCTCCTCAAAGCCTTTGATCCCTTCTAACATATGGGCACGGGATCCATTTTCTTGGGCTTGGATGAGGGCTTTAGTGAGATTATTCAACTCTCCATCTACTAAGAGCAGCTTCTGGCCATCATGGATGTTGATATAGCTGTGGGTCGTCAAGTGGAACATCAGCCTTTCATTGTCACTCCTTAGCAGAGGGTCACTTTGCTCTTCCTGATCTGTGGGACTCCTTCCAGAACTCTGCCTCTGTTTGCTTCTGCTTGGAGAGCCTGTTAGCTGCATGCTGGGCATGACATCAGGTATGACTGTTGACTTCAGCTTCTTGGCCACCTCTCTCTCCAAGATGCCATGTTCAACGGCTTTCTTCCAGGACAACACCTCAGTGGTTTCAGGTATGAAGACAGCCTTAATGAATTGCCTTTTGTTGAGAATCTTGTAAACCAACTCTGTAGACAGGATTCCTTGCTCTAAAGCATCTGCAACAGGGATGATCTCCCCCGTCTCTGGCCACAGGAGCCCCATGAAGGACCAAAGGGATTCCAGGACCACCAGTGCAATCCTTGATCCTACCAACTCTTTCCTTACAGCTTCATCAATTGTCAGTCTCTCTCCTGTGACTGTATCAATAATGCCACCTGTCTGAAGCTGCCGGATAAGAAGCGTGCGTGCCATGTCCTGGTCAATTAAATTATGTCTCATGGCCTCATCCACAGTCAGCCTGTGCCCTGTCCTGGGGTCAACAATGCCACCAGCAAAGAGCTGGGCTTCCAGCAACCTCACCATTACCTGTCTGTCTATCAGCCCTTCCTGGACAGCACGGAAGATGCTGACTTTTCTGCCTGATTTCAAGCTCACCATCCCACCTGCCAGCTGCTTGACTGGGAGCAGCCTCAGTCCAGTCTCCTGGTGGATGATACATCGATGCATGAGTTCAGGTAGATTGACTTTCTCAGCAGTATTGGGGTCAATCAAATTCTTGCCACACTCCAGGTGAGATAACAATCTGGAATACAGCTGGGGAGTAAGGAGCTTTTCTTGTACGGCTGTCTCCATGCTGATTCTGCCCTGATGTGCTTTAAAGCCTCCGGTGGCAAGGTCAGCTTCCAGAATCTTTAGCCCAATGGTCTCGCTAATCCTTCCCTCTTCTACCGCAGCAACTACAGGTAGGAGCTGCTTCCCTTCACATCTGACTTCATCCACCTGGTGAAGGGCATCCTTCAACTCCTGCAGCACCTGGAATGTCCTGAGATCGATGATGTTTCTTGCCAGACCTTTCTCCAAGGAGAGTTTTTCATTGGTCTCCGGAACAACTAAGTCAGATGTGATAACCTGGGCCTCTAAGAGAACAAGGCCAGTGTCCTGGTCTATGAGACCTTTCTGCATGGCACTGAAGACGGGGAATATTTCCACTGTGCCAAGATCGATCACTCCTGCCACTGCTTCGCTGCCCTAAACAAAGAGAAGGAAAAAAAAATCAAATCAGAACTGAGCATTCCCAGCAATCAGACTGCATGAGGTCCAGGGAGGTCTCAGTTTCCAAAACAAGTTAAAAGAACAAAACTCCCAAAAAGCTAGAAAGAGAGTCTCAAAGTGTTTGAGATGCAACTCCAAAGGCATCGCAGCCTGCAAATCGGTGCATTTGCTAGCTTGCACATTGTCAGCCTGTTTTAATGCTCATCTAGTCCATCATCAGGGCAGCACCGAGACACTTCCAACATCCACCAACAGTAACACAGCAAAGCAGCAAGCAGCAAAACCCAGAAGTGCTCCTAGTGTACCATGGAGAAACAGAGAAAAGGAGACCGACAACACGTCGAAGCCATTCAAATTCAATTTAAAAAAAAAATAAAGACAACACGAGTCCCAGTTTGTACTAAGAGAGGAAGAAAGACAAGAATTCCACTTCTAGGACCTTCTCCCAGTGCAGTTTCCACCCTGACTCCTGCCATGCTCAACTACTGCACTTCCCAAAGCAGATCTCAATTGCCAGAAACCCAGGAACAAAACAGACTTGCATGCCATGGATCAGCTCCCAGCAATGACAGACCAGCCGTGCATTAGGGCATGAAAGCTGCCTCTGACATGCAAGGCAGCTCCCAGAGCACATTCACTGGCAACCGCTTTGCCCTGCACTAGTACCTAGAAGTAGCCGTGCTCTTTAGATAAGGCAAGCAAAGAAATATAAGAAGTTGTAGGTCCCAGAACAGAGACAGTGACAGACTAGGAACAGACCATACTCAGTATTTCTGTAGTGGCTTTTCTCTTGCTGGTATCCGCACAGGAAGGTAATAATTAAAATAATGACCAAAAAGTAACAGCACTTCTGACATTGAGATTTCTCCCATCCCCACTGTTTAGGCGTAAAGTGGGCCCAAGCACTACAGGATTTCCATGGGGATAGGGAGAACGGAGGAAGTAATTTGGACTGTAGAATTAATTCCTTCTGCATCCTCAAGACACTCAGATTTCTTTAATAGTGAGTCTAAAAGGACAGTCAGGGTGCTTTGTAGGGGCTGTGCAGTTCGGTTACGGCACACGAGAATGCAGCCTCCACCACACAGGTTTGCAATGCTCCTAAATACATAACTACTGCGGAGACAGAGTGATCCTGCTGGAGAAAGCTAAGCTCTCCAGCATCACTGCCAGACTCAGACATGCACGTTCTGATGTCAACAAGCTGTAGAAAGACAGAGAAGAGGAGACGAAAAGAAAGATAAAAAGAGGAGATAGAAGGGGAGGGGGGTAAAAGGCTTTTACTTACCAGAGTTGCAGGGCGTGCCTTGAGCAGTTAAAGACAGAGCCTTATGGAGCAGTTCAGCCGTATCACACACAGTGTAAAGCTTGGTGTTAGCGTCCAGCATGCGACTGTTTTGTTTGCAAAAAGAACCCCACACACAGGTCGTCCTCTTTTCACTTTTGTGTGTTTTGTTTGTTTAAATCCCGGAGGGTTAGTTAAACTTGTAAGCAAGGATGTCAGTTAATCTTAAAAACAGTTGACATGAAACACAAACTGTACAGGGACACATCATGCTCAATTTAGCGCGTTCTGCAGTTCTGCTTTGCACTTTTTCCTTTTAATTTTGTAACCTCTCTCTGACAGTTGGATGTTTCCAGCAAGCAAATGTTAAGAGTTCTTCATGCTCCCTCTACAAAGAAGCAACTGGACCACACAGCAGCCACAATGATAGTCTCCTACACAGGCCGAGGATCTACAAAGAAGCCCCAGGGCTCACTCTCATTCTACTTTTCCTGGGCTTCGTGGAGAGCGTGAGTGAAAATTGGCCCCTGCTCTAACCTGGGCCCCCAAATGCCCTTATGCTGCATGAATGCAACCCAAGCCCTGGAGTAGGCTTTATAGGAAAGTCATTTTCCTGCCCAGGAAGGAGGAAGAGGGAAAGGAAAAAGCATCCTTCCCACTGGCAGGCTTCTTTAGCTTCTCTTCTGGCAGTGGAAGGAGCATCAGAGCTGTGAGGGTTTAGCTGACACCGCTGACACTCAGGTTTGCTCATCCCAAACTTTCTGCTGCCAGTAAGAGTGCTAAAGGGACTTGCAATAGTGTTTACTGGATGGAGACATGTGAAACGCGTTATAAAGACCAATTCTAGGAGACACTATCTTTTTAAGTGAAAGCTAGACATGTGGATTTCAAATAAACACCATCCTATTCCCTTGATTTGCTAGAACAGGGCTTCACTCACTGACACAACAGCCAAAATCAGTGTCACATGTTCACATCTGAGTAGGCCATTGCTTCAGAGTACAGGGAGCCAGCAAGCAAACACACAAATATATCCATTGACACATGTATATACACTTATATAACACGCACATGTATATCTGTGAACGACTGAAGACAGCTAGCACCAATAACAGAGGCAATAAGGATGCACTTTGGGTCCTTCCTACCCAACACAGGAGTGGAACAAGAAACGGAGACTGACAGGAACACTGTTGGATGCAAATGGGGAATAGCCAGGGGTCCAGCTACTAGTCGGTGAAGGTCTCCCAGGTTAGCTGAGGGCCTGTTGAGATAATGCAGTCGCCTTCCACGTGGAGAGCAACTTAGTTCAGCCACATCTTAAATCCCTCAGCAGAGTACTGTCATTTACATATGCACGTGTGAAAGAGATTGCACAGGCAAACGGCCTTCTGCAGAAACCCACCTTCATGTGTCTTCTACAACCCACAGGCCTGTGTGATCGAGCTCTTTCTGTTTGAAATACTGAAAAGGCATTACTTGGAGGAGACCGATTTGCCAAGGGTACAATGTTCAGGATAGAAGTCTGTTTACATCTTTACCCTCACATGAACAAGTCAACTCTTTCGCACAGGGCCCAGCTCTGATTAACACCACTGCAAAGGAGACACTGTCTCAGTGACCTGGAAGCAGCAGGTAAGCGGCTTCTGCTTGGCCTCCAGTGACCAACCCAGCCCGGACCCTGTGGGGTGATGCACAGGACAGGACAGCAGGGAGGGTGATCATGTGCAATTAGGAAGGGCAACTGGCCGTGAGTGGCTGGTGGCCATGAGACACAACCAAGCAAAGCCTCTTTCACACCCTGAGGAGTAACCTGTGGCTGAGCCGTTCCCAGAGCGTGCAGGGAACAGTACCTTGTGCTCTGTCTCCTGAGCCAGCTGGCTCTGGAGCTGCTGGAGCTGCTCAGTGGAATCACTGCAGAGCGCCTGGTAGGTCTCCTTCAGAGCACCGATCTGAGCGGAAATCTGTTCCTTCTCCTGATGGGAAAGCCTGCGAGGGGAATCGGAAACCTCTTAGGGAAACTATACAAAACATCTGCCAGCTCCACAGAGTTAACATGTTCTTCTCATGAAGGAAAAAGTCAGAACACGATGAGTCCCCTCTTCCCATGGCTCTGCTCTGCACCCAGCTCAGCTAAAAACAGTAAGGTTAACTGTGCTCAGCAAAGGCTGACCTGCATTATACTGATCAAATCCACAAACACGAGGAGTTGGATCACTATTAGAGTGGGTTAATTTTGGCCCAACAAGATAAATAGGATTCATATTTCTTATCTACTATTGAAGATGAGAAAAATAGTCACTTTCATGTGCAACTAGTCACTGTTTTCAATGGGAAGCAGGCACTAGATTCCCAGGACAGCAGTCCACCAGCACCTAATTCGAGGTAGTTCTCCTGTGCCATACTCACTTGTGGCTGTGTTTTGCCAGGAAGATTTGGGAAGTTTTGATGGCCTCAGAGACCTGCTCCTTCTTTGCAGTCAGCTCCTCATTCAGAGCCTGTTAAGAACAAGAAAAAAGCTAAATTTGGCTGTGGAAAAAGAACAGAAGTTCAAGAAACTGCCTCACGATTGCCCCCACACAGCACTTCATAGCAAGCATCCGGGCTTTTGACCATTAGAGTTCTAGGAAAGCTCATCTGGAAACAGTAGAATAATATGGTTTTGTGGAACGATACAAAGAGGCCAGAGTACATGTAACATGCACGAATCAGAGCTGGGCAGAGAAGGCCCTTGATTTACCTGCTGCTCTGAGATTGATTTCTCAATGTCTCCCAGCTCCCTGCTCCTGGCAGCAGCAGTCCTGCCTTGCACGCTCTGCCTCAAACCGGAGACCCAGCCCAGGAGCTCCTTCACCTTGTCCACATGCTCCTGCTTCTCTTCCTCCACTACTTTCTGTAAACAGAGGAGGGAGGAGGATAATCAAGTCAAAGGTGGCGAGGTTTCCAAAGTCTCTCAGGGCAGGACCTGAAACACGCTCTAAATGTGTGTGAACCAAAAAGTGGGAGGGCAGTTGTAAAAGGTGGAGCATCATTGGGAGATGCTGGGAAATGAGCCTGCACATTTTGAATAAAGAGTTCAGTTCTACATAACACACTTACCTCTTCTTCCTCCAACCGCCGGAGCGCATCACTGATGTACTTCACATGCTGTGTCGTTAATGTTACCAGAGCTGTATAGCGAGTCCGCAAATCCATAAACTGTGATGGGAAAGAGGCGGAAACAGGATGCATCAGCCATAACCAGCTGGCCTGGAGCTACATACTTTACAGTACAGGACACGGCTACATCATCTCTCACTTGGAAAGATCCCCAGGCACCTCGCAGACCCAGTACAGCATCAATGAAACGCAGCTCCCGAGGGGGAGGGTGGTGGCCACACACGGCATGCTGCACGACACTGGAGCGGAGGGGAATTCTGGTCACGGACACTGGGGCGGGTGCTCAACTCTTACAGAAAAGGGCCACTGGGATCTTTGCTATCCACATGGAGCAGACAGGACCTCAGTCTCTAAAGGTCTCATCTCAAAGATGCACACACAGGAATGCTGCATGGCGCTCTGTGTATTTACCTGGGGAGCCGACGGGCTGAGCCGACCCCGCTGGGATTTGAACCAGGGGTTCCCAGGAGTCCAGGTATTTCATACCTGGTGCTTAGAGCACTAAGCCATCCTCTCTGGCTATTGGAAAAAACAGCGAGGGTGGAAACTTTATTTATATATACGTGTTTAGCAGAAAGGAGCTCATTTCACAGAGAGGCTGCTCATCGGTTTGCTCAGAGGGGAGGAACCCCCCCACAAGTCCTCCCTGGCAAGGCCAGGGGGGCGACGGCCTCCTACCTCCTGCGTGATAGCATCCGAGGAAGAAAGCATGCGCCGGCGCTTCATGGGAGACTTCTGCTGTGATTCGACAAACGCCCTGTACGTCATGAGCTGCAACTCATAATCCTGGAAATGAAACCAAGGGTGGAGAGAAAGATTTTGTCGTTATTTCTTTGACACTAGCACTCTCAGATCTCCAATTCAGGCTGGCTCTTTGCACGCAGAGCCAGATCTCTGCTGCTCACACCAGGGAAGCTAAGCGAATCCATGATGGGAACTGCTCTGGGGGTGTTTGTGCCTGGCCAGGCTTACCCCAGGTTGAGTAAGTGGACCATACCTTGACAGCAGCCGAGTATTGCTGAGAGAATTTCTGACACTGGTCCAGTTTGGCTTGATTTTTCTCAATTTCTGCTGCCAAAGCCTGCAACAAAATTCAAAACAAAAATGGTTATCAGGGTGGCTGCCACAGGTCAAGTGGGCTGAATTTCAACCCCCATTCCTTGCTTTTTTGATAAACTCTTTATACTCTCCAATTTTTTATGCAAGACCCATCTCCATCTGAAACTAAGAAGAGTTTCTCCACTTCCCAGACATTCCTCAGCTCAGACCCGCAGCCTCTTCCCCGCTGCTTTTCACTGCATGGAACAACTTCAGTACTGACTCATTTAAGTTTCTTACACAATTTCTCCACGTCCCTAACGCCGTTATCCTCCCTAACTCTCATGATGGTGCGAGGAGCCTTTGGGACCTCACTGGGAGCAAACGACTAAATCATTCACCCAGGGCCGCACTGGGAGCCTGCAGCAGAGTCAAATGCAAGTCAAAATCTCCCATTCACCAAGCTACCCTCCATGCCCCGAGGGCCTGCCAGGAGCTCCCGCAGCACCACAGGTGCCGGAGCCGTTGATGGCTGCAGATTTCGGTTACTGCTCTCCTGGGATGCATGTGAGTTGCTTAACAGCAGATGAGCAGCTGTGTACAATCCTGCTCTTCCACAAGGCACTGCAGGCCTTAAAGCATTAACGTGCTCAAGCTCCCAAAGACTGTAGTGAAATAAAAGTAGTGACGTGTTCACAGCAGTGACTGCGCTGCCCAGACATCACAAGGCTCTGTCTTACGGTTTGCTGGCTCAGCTGCTCTGACAGCACCCTGCTGTCTTCCGCTTGCCCCGGTTTCATCAGTTCCTGCTGGGTGGTGATCTCCTCGATCCAATGGATTAGGGCGCTGTGGCACTGGCGGTAGTCATTGAGCACCTCTTGGATGCTTTCCAGCTCTGCATGGCTGAAAAAAGAACCATGATAAGTAAGAGGAGAGTCAAATGCCACCATAAGCTGCTGGGAAATCCTGGCCACCAGCGGGCATCGCATCTGGAAAAAGACTGCTGCTAACAAGTCTGACCCAAGCTCTTAACCGAAGCATGAAAGCAAATCTGTGAAAGGAGGAAGGGAGTATATCTCACCGGGTCTCGATTTGCGTGCAGACTCTCTGCCAGCGATCCCACAGCTGGCTTCCCTTCTCCTGATAGCGCTCGAGGTCGATGCTGCGCTCTTGTCTTAGACGGTACAGCTGCTCTCCCACCACCTTAGCCTTTGCTATTTCCTCCTCTAACGTGGAGAACACAGAGCTCTTGTCCTTCACTTCACTGAGCCATTGCTTCAACAAACAGCAAAAGAGACAGCTACAGTTTAATACGATGGAAGCAGGATGCACAGCTTCACCTTAAGGCTGCAATTAAAGCCAGAGATTGCCTCTCTCCCACAGTTTAAAAGCCTGAGAAGGGGTTTAGCCTGCCTCTCTCCATCACCTAGAAAGAACTGGTTTATTATAGATTTAGGAGATGCAAAACGGAAGGGTCCATGTTCCCAGCTTAGAACAAGTCAGTCTGGCCCATTCCCTGTCCTAGAGCAGCAGAACACATAGCTGCTAAGATGCTCGCTCCTATCTGCCCCACAAAGGAAAGCACAAGGCCAAGCAGCTCTTCTAGCTATCATTCACAAAGCAATAAAGGATCACACAAGGGATCACGTAAGTGATCAAAATCCTCCTGGCAGCTATCCAGGGGCAAGAGAAATGGAACACAATGCAAGTTCAGCAGAGAAGGGGAGGACTCTGTTTCACAAAACCCAAAACACTGGCCATTCTTCCCCCTGCAGACTTTGGAAAGTGAACAGTGCCAACCTGTAATGTCGTTCTGTGAGACTGAATAGCTGTCAGATCAGCTGGGACTGCCTCCTCTTGGCTCAGCTTAACTTCATATCCTTTGACCAGAGACTCTGCTCCTTGGGTGTTACGAATAATAACATCAACTGTCTTTAACCTGGCAAATCAAAAAGAGGCAGCACAATGACTTCCAATGTTTGGCAGAGATCCTCTTGATTGTGAAGCTGTTTGCCCCATATGTAACAGAGGGAAAGATCCCAGTTACAAGCCTGTGCAAGTTATTCCGTTCAAGGGCCAGAAGAAAGGTCTTTTAACAGAATCAGGATGCTTGGGGAAAAAGACTACACCTTGCACATGTAACTGCAAACACCCCTAGCAAAGCCCAAAGGGATAACAGGAAGCACATACAGGCTCAGAATACCAGACTGGAAATCCTAGAAAAACCTCTCTTGTTACCTTCAGTGCGTCACCAAGGCCCAAATGCACAAAGACACTTTGGCACCTAAATCCCACTGCCCTTACTCTTGCTGCCTTGATATTGCCTTCTGCAAAGTGGGAGTACTCTGTTGGTTTTCTACCAAGCACTCTGTAAAGGAGGAATAGCTGCACACATGCAAGAAGACAGACACAGAAAGGTATTTAGGACCAAAAGCATGTTCTGACTCACTTGTCCAGGTAGATGGAAGAGAGCCCATACATCTGATCCATCTTATTGACCACCAACTCAAGTTCGGAACGCAAATGCGGGGTGCTGGACCCCGTTGGAGCTTTGTTGAGGAAACTGTAACATCTCTCGGAAATGTGCCGCAGGTCAGATTTCAGCCGCTGGAGATCCTCCTGCATGCGCTGTGGGGGGAAAGAGGAAGGACGTCAAAGGAGAGTCCAAGCAGGCAGGGGCGCTTCAAACCCTGCGCTGTCATGCACCCACTGCCCATGCCTTTCATTCATTTCTGCCATCAGCATTCAACAGCTGGGAATGCCAACTACAGTCAGCAACTCCTAGATTGAAGGAAGCAAGTACTTATTGCAAAGGGATTTTGCCCAGATAGCTGGAAGCCCAAAAGTTGACCTATTGACTGCAGTCAGCTCATAACAAGAAGCAGAAATCTTTTGGTTCAGCTTTTCCCTGAAGTTCCAGCTTTGCTGCTGGAGGGATTCGTTCAGCTTCTGACTCTTCTCCCCTGGGAAAGCCAGGAGAAATCAGAGAGTCCACAGAGCGGAAAAGCACAAGGAGTTATAAAACTAGGAGCCAGTCACTGTCTTCTGACCCCAGAGTAGCATGTGCTGTCCCAGGGCAGGCAGAAACACTATGCAGAATTCACCCTACACAAAAGCACATGCAAGAGACCAGCAACCACCACCTTCCTCCCCTGCTAGAAGGACTCCTCTTCCTCATAGCTAGAAGGACTGACCTCCTGCTCTGCAATGCGGATGGTGTTTTCCTGGATAGTGTCACCATCTGCCCGGATGCTGCTTGGGGACTGGATTCGGCTCACTAGTCTCTGCTCACACTCCTCCAAGCGCAGACGGACATTCTTGAGCTCGGACAGATACGTTCTGGCAGCAGTCTCATCCTTGTCTTCTGTTGAGTCACAGACAAACAAAACACGGACCCACAGCCCCAGTGAGCGCCTGCCCCAGCTGGGACCCGCTGGGAGCCTCGGCGCTAAGCGCTGACAACGAGGCACCACAGGTCTCTGCTAAGACGGAAAGCAAGTTAATCAAATCACCCTTTCTGAATGCAGTCAAGAGCAAGTCCAGCCACAGGGTACCTCACATGACCAAGCCAGAGTCCCTTATCGTAGTGCTACTCACAATCCTGCTATGACACGCAGAGACCGGTACGCCGCTCTGAACAGCGGGACTGTGGCTGTCACATATGGCTTGTTAAAAGACTAAACACAGGAAAAATTCCTTGCTCAGAATGCGTTTGACTAATGACTAAATTATCTCCAACACCGTTAGGGTAAGAGGGCTCAGCAGTTAACCTGAAGCAGCAAAGCAAAGCCCTCTCTATGGGAACACTGCTGGACAAGGACAAAAGCTGACTATTTGAATGGATGGAGGAATAAGGAGAGCAGCTGCTCATATAATCAACTAGCTAGTTCAAAAAAAAAAAAAGGAAAAAATAAAATGAAGTCATCTCATAGACCCTTGGTTTATTAGTCCCACCAGCTCCTGATTAATCCATCAACCCTTTGAAGCTCACCGTTCTCCATAGACTCCAGCAGATGCCGGATATGTTCCTTGGAAGACTCGACTTCCTCTTCCAAGCGCAGCCGGTCGGACACAGAGAAGAGCTCCGAGTCGCGGCTGTCCTGCAGGAAGTCTTCATAGTGCGCCTGGAGGCTCTTCATGGCTTGCTGGCACTCCCCTTGCGCTAAGGATCTGAGCTGCAAGTGGAAAAGCAGCACATCTAACCGCTGGGAATGACTTCCTACATACCACCTGAAGCCACTCTCCCCCAGTTTAATCACCTTCATTTGCCAAGTGAATATTTTCTCTCTAGAGGCGAAAAGGCGAGTTCCTTCCCTATTAGCTTCCCGCCTCCCGCCAGCCTTGCTCACTCCCTAACGAAACGCTACATTAAGTCCACAGTCTCTAATGGTTATTACAGATCAGCAGCAAACTGCTGTTGCTCTCAATATTAGGAAAAACTGCAACCGTTTTTGCACTGAACCCCCAAGCTCAGGTTTTCCCACTCTGCAGGGTGCATAGGCCCTTGATTTCCCTGTCCTTGCAGTCTCTGGTTTTTCCCTTTCACATTTCCTTTTGTTCTCTCCCATGTGAAGCAACCTTGACAGTGCGGTGATGCAGCCCAGGAGGCAGGCAGAGAAGTTCAGATGGTACCTTCTCCATGTTGAAGCTTTGCACCAGGGCAATGTCCTTCCGCAAGTAGTTCCAGGAGATGAGGCTCTTCGTGTTCATGTGGAGCTGGTGCCACAGAGCCATCACCTTCTGATACAGCTGCTCTATCCTGCAGTGGGAAAAAGCAGATCCATCAGCCCTGGGATTTTATCTTTTGGAAGCTACTACAGCAGTTGCTCCGATGGAGTTTGCAGTAATACAGCCACGAGGGAGTCCTTTCTTCACCCAGCATGAATGATCTGTGCCACCAACTCCTGTTCCTTCACATCGATTCCTCTCCACAAAGACTCGCTCCTCCCATTTCCACCCCAGTCTGCCTGCTCCCACACCATGAACCCCCGCACCTACCTGTGAGTAGCTATGCACCTTCAGCTCAACATAGCCAAACCAGAGCCTGTCCAGGCACCCAGAAGGCACTTAGCAAGGGCTCTGGCTGTGCCAGTTACCCCTCCCCTGGGAAGTGTGATGGCCCCATTACATGAGGAACCTTTCCAGCTCTGGGATTTCCAAGCGACACAGCAGAGACCAGGGAGTTACCTGTTAGCCATCTCAATGGCCTCTTTGTTCGGAGGGGGGATCAGGAAGCACACAGAGGGCACCATGGCCTCATTGCCTGTGGGACTGATCACCTTCCACTTGGTCCTCTGAGAATTGTCTTCGAGCACGCACTCATCGTTCCTACAGATGGTGATCTGCAGGGCATCGACAACATGGCCCCATTAGAAACTGGTAGCAGGTCTGCAGGCACCTGCCCGTGCTAGCAGCTCCCCTCCTAGGTGGCAAAGTCAGCTTCCACGCCACTTTTTTTTTCTTTTTCTTTTTTTTTTTTTTTAAATCAAGGAAAACAAGGGATACTGCCAAGCAGTTCAGCACACCCATGTCTGGGGAGGAAGGGATAAGGAAGTTAAAGTTGGCTACCACCCAGGCAGTTGTTTGGCTGAAGATGATGAACCCCATCCTCCCTGGGGAAAGGGACTTCAGCTCCTGCCCAGAATAAAGCTGAGATGTAGAAACTATTCCAGGGAAAACATCCACATTATTTCCCTACTCATCTCTTCCCACTCCATTCCTACTTTTCATTGACAAATACCGCAGAACTAGTCCAAAACCGTCACGGGCACCTCTCCCCTGCCTCATTCGTCCTGTCCCTTTCAAAGTCACACCAACACCCTGTCAACCCTCTCACCTCAATCTGCCGATAGTCGCAAACGGCCTTGATTGGGATTGTGCTCTTCACAAGGTGGTCCGGGTTCCTGGGCTTGAGCTGCACGATAGTTTTGGATCGTCCCACCAGGCTGGCGACGGAGCTCTTCGACTGAATAAGCTGCTCCTTCTCGTCCTGGTGGAAAGAAGAGCAAAGCACAGGTTGATCAAGGAAGAGAGGGAGACGAGGTGTCTCAGACATCTCATCATCCCCCACCCCGAGGTGAGTCTTCAAGAGCTACGCTGGGAGCTCGAGGGCTGAACGAACACGTCAGGAGGATCCCAACGGGAAGAAGGGGTCAGGAGACGGGAAAGAAAGAAGGGAGAACAGATGCTGAATCAGGGCTGGGACCCCTCCGCTACTACTCCCATGGCAAAGGGGAGCAAAAGCTGCATGCACAACACTGGCTCTTTTGCTGCTAGGACAAGAAAACACTGTCTTTCAAAAGGAAAGAAAGAGAATGCAGCATACACCATAACTAAAATCACAGTAGGTCTAAGTGGCAAAGAGCAGGACAAGCCCTAGCCAAAAGCCAGAGATTTTTAGCTGCTTGGAGGAGAGGCCACAAAAGCATGCTCTGCTTTCTAAAGCCAAGAATGAAGGCATGTTTAAACCCATGTTTGGAATGGGGGTACGATGAGTCAAGCGGATAAAACATCTCAGGAGAAGTGGCTAGTGGTGGCGTGATCACACAGGTCTCTGGATTTGGATAGGAGTTCACCAGCTGGAGTAAAACACTGCGTAATGAAGTCGCACAAGCGCCTGCTGGGTCCAGTGATGGGAAGACCCAGGGGGATCGATCTGCAAAGCTTCCTTGGGACAATCCCCAGCCACGGGATGGAGACATGTGTGGATCACAACACCGGCAGCTCATGGGACTAGTCACAGCTCAGCAAATCTGGGCTGCAAAAGTTTAAAAAGGATCCCAGAAAAACGTTCTCCATCATGCTTTGAACTCTCAGACCATAAAGGGTTGGTTAGTGTGCTAAGAACAGTGGAGGATAAATTATTTAATGGTAAAAAAAAATAAAATAAAACAAAAATAAATAAATTATTAAATAAACTACCTGTGCCTGTCCCACGGAGCATGATTGAAAGAAATACAACTTTAACTCATTAGGTAAGAAAGAGTAACACAGCTTAGATCAGGGCAGCTGCCCCAGTCCTCAGATTGTGGCCACTCTCCTACTGCCCAGCCTGAGCCTTCCCATCCCAGTCATGTGCCAGATTTGTGACACCCATCACGAACACCAAGTAACAGCATCCCAATTTCACTGTGGACTTGCTGGAAATCAGTGGCGTCTACTAGAAATAAAGACAAAGCGGCTACCTGACTTCACAGCCTCAAATTTAACCTCCTTGAGCCTTCACCAGAGGCTCAGTGGTTAAAGCACAAACCAAATCCTCTCCTACCCCCCTGGTTTGTTTCAAACACTATCTGATGCTTTGCTCCTCTTTTTTTTTTTTTTTTTTGGTGTGTGTGTGAGGCCAATTTGGACAACGAGATTACAGTTGTGTGTCTGCTCTCTGGGTGGCCGCAGCAAGGCCGGGTCACACGCTTGGGGACCGGAGCTGCCTTGGTCCTGGACACCGCACGCTGGCAGCTTGCCCCGGCTGTCTCACCCTCCTCCCCATGGACATAGCGTAACAGATTAACACCACATCCAGTCTGGATGAAGGGTAGGCGTTTCTCTCCAGCCTACTGCGCTCTTAGCAAGCACCAGCTAAAGAGTGGAAACGTAACACAAGCATCACATGGGCCCCACATGGCACCTCCACCAACAGCACACGACCACCTCCAAACAGCTACAGACAGAAACGGGTGGACAGATATTAATGGGGAAGAGCCAGCTCGGGTGTTTACTTTTCTATATTAATAAAGAAAGCCTCTAGCTATAATCTTGCACAGACAGTATATGCTGCTTGCTCTTTACCAAGACGATACAGAAAGATTGTGGCAAGCGCCGCTAAACACGAATGCTTTGCTGCAGACACTGATCATCTGTTGTAACTCCTGAAATCCAGCTAGCACAGGCAACACATGCGATGGTGCAATAGAGGCCACACACAACTGGCACCCCCACCCCACACAGCTGTGTATGCACACACTGAAAAGCAAAAGCTATTCTGGGATGGGGAGACAAAACACGTTATGTGAAACTCTGCATCACTGCAACAGGAAGATGAACGTGCCCTGTTTCCCAAGGAAAGCAAGAGGACACCGAGCAACACTGCTGGACTGGAGCAAGTATTCAATGTGCCGCCCCGGAGGGTGATGGGGATTTCAGAAAACCCACCATGGAGTCCTGGAGCAGGTCCTCCAGCCGGGTCAGGCTCGTGTTGTGGTCACACGAATACTTCCTTTTGATGGAGTCCTGCAGGCTCCGCAGGTAGGTCTCCGACTCCCGGGCATCACTGAAGAACTGCAAGGCCAAAAAGCATCACAGAAATCGGCACCACTCAACTGAGCAATTGGCAACAGACCGTGCTGCAAGAGGCCACCCAAAAATCTCCACAAGCAGCTTCCTGCCACTAGCCTGGCCTCAGCACTGCGAGAGCAGTAAGTACCCCAGGAGGACAGCCAGAGCCATATGAAAGCTGATCCTCTTGGCTAAGTGAGATATCCCCACAGAACAGGCATAAAGAAGAGAGACAACTCAAAAGAAAGCTGTCCTGCTGAGCACTGCAAACCTCTTCTTCCCTCTCCCATAAGGAAAAAGCACTATATGAAGCTCGAGCACCAGGACCCAGCTGAGGCTATCTCACAGTCCCGATACGCAGCATGTTTTTGTTCTCCTGCTGGAGCCCAGGAAAATTTGGGCTGCCCCTCCTGAGTACCTGGAAGTAGGCAGCGTTCTCCTTCACATGCTGCTCCACACACAAGCAGAGCTGCTTAATCCACTGCCACTGAGTCTGCACGGCAGCACTGTAGGCCTGGGAAAGACATGCACCAAACAACAGTGATGAGTAATGAGCATTCATCCGTGAGGAGGGTCACAGGCAGGACACAGCTGCAGCCGGTGGGATGTACATAAATGGGCAGGAGCTGGCTGCAGCCAGGAGCGTTTGGACATGGACACAAAAAGCGAGAGACAACAGACCCTGAATCGGCACATGCCTGAGGCTGCTGCAGGCATAAGTTTGCTTTCTCCCACCCTAGAATGGGCGCCTGCCACTAAATCAAACACCAAGGAGAAAAGCGTCCCAGCAGCCCTTCACTTCACCACTGCGTTTTCTCTAGCAGCTCTGGAGGCTTCGGTAACTCCAAGTGAGCCAAAACCTTTCCGTGCACCATCCTACTGCAGGAAAAGGCTCCTGGCTCTGCATAAGCTCTTCTGTGCTGCCCTTATCTTGGAGACGGTTTTATTTAGGAATGGCCTCAGCTTCGCACTGCATTCTTCCAAAGACAAAATAAAACAGCTCTTAGCGCTGCACTAACATTCTTCTTCCACCACAAAACATTTCATCAGCTCTGAACGCTCGAAAGAGCGCTGTGAGGTTGGGCAGCAGCCAGCGCAGGGTAGCGAGTTTCCCAGTCACGTTTCAGAAGACTCGCTGCCACCCAATTCATGAGGCTCCCGCCAGAGCCTCTCGGCTCCTCTGCTCCACCAGTTGCCCACTCACCTCTACAGTTTGCTTGGCTGGATGATTCTCCAGGGACAGCAGCTCGGCTGTATCTTGGAGGGACCGGAAGATGTCCTGCTTCTCTTCCAGCTCCATGGTCAGCTCCTGAGTAATGGACGCAAGCAAAGTCGAAACCTTGGCTATCAGGAGCAGTCTACGTTCAACTACTGAAACAAGCAGTGTGGAAAATGCAGCCTATGGTCAACCCCTCCCATCGAGTGTTGCAGTTAATACCAGCAGATCTCAGAGAAACCAGCCTGGCTTAAGAGTTGTTCCCTATCAGGATGCCTCATCTGCACCAAAAACTCACATGGAGCAGATCTATAACAGATACCAGAAACTTGCCTGGGACCTCCTCGGTTCCAAGCATTGCAAATGTGGAAAGACATCAATTTATTTATACTACTTTAAAGAGGAATCAATTTTCTTCTTTAAGCCCAGGCTTCCCCCCACCCCTACTTAAGGATGCCTTTAGTCCCAAGTAGTGCTAAAAATGCCTTTTTGATTGAAACTCAATTGAACAGACCCTCCTTTGCACTTTCAGCTCTAGGGAGAGCTGCTTCATCAGCTTCACCAGCAGGCATTCATGAGCTACAAGTTTGGTGACTTGGGAGGGAACATCAAACTTCTGGGGACTTCTGCAAGTCTGTCAGTAGATGAAAGTCCTGCAGCAGTTTAAAAGCTGCAGTGGCGCAATCAGGAGAGCTCTTGTCCCACCAGCCCTGCTCAGGGGCCCGCTGCACACTGGTAGATTGCTCACCGAGAAATAATTCCTCTTGGCTGCAATATTAGGGTTGTTGTCACTCCAGTCGTATGCTAGTTCCTCTTCCTCCTTCTCATTCAACCAAATCAGCTCAGCAGTGGCTCGAGACACAAACCCGTGCAAGCTCTGAAGATGTCTCAGGCGGAAGCTCGAGGTTTCCTGAACACAATAAAGTGACCCATCCCTTGTGTGACTTCTCAGAGCAGGGGCTGAGCCCCAAAGAGGAGAGCAACGTGACTCCTCTTCCCTGCTCTGATGATGACCAGTTTCTTCTCCCACATCCCCAGCTGCGGAGCAGGGGTGCTCAGGACCAGAACAGCACATGGACCATGTGCTCCCCCGGCAATGGCAGAAGGTGCTACCAGCACACACAAAGCTCACTCACCATCAGCTTGCAGTACTGCGTCTCCAGCTTGCCAAGTGTTTCCGTGTAGCTAGCGCGGAAATTCTGAGACATTTTACCCTGAAGGACGAAAACGTTCCTGTTACTCCACACAAAACAGCATTCTTTGAAAGCCCATCTCCAAACCTTTCTCCTTAGCTCCCCGTGAGCAAGTAGGCAGAGAGGACGGACGGCTCAGGCCTCTTGTACCAAACCAGCATCAATTCCCAAGCTCTGTCCTTTAAAAAATACCTGCCCCCCAGCCACCTTTACCCATAAGAGCTGACCTCCTGACCCCCTTATCTTCCCAATGCCTCCAAACCTTTCCAAACACGTCGTGCTGTGCGTGGTGCCACCCAGCCCGTACCACCATACCTCATACATCCGGGCCTCCTTTACGCTGGAGCCCAGGTCCTCCACACTGGTGTGGACGTGCCGCTGGGTCTCCAGCTGGGACTCCACACTTGGTAGGTCGCTCCCCCACTCTGCCCGCTCCAGCCTCATCTGAAACAGGCCAGGAGGTCCAAGTCAGCACTTCCTATCTGCAGGAGCATATCTCAAAAGGACATGAGGGCAAAGAAACCTCCTAGGTCACTACAGAAGCAACAAGTAGCAAGCCAGCCCTGGTAGAAACTCCTAAATCAGTGTTCAAACGTTGAATGATTTCAGAGGCAGCCCACACAGGCCTTACACCCGGATAAGACCAAACGGCTCATTGAATCAGTACAGTTTTGTGTGCAGCTTTGAAGGTATCTTCTAGTATCCAGTGAACAGCAGGCTCACAAGAGAGAAAACTCAACTCAAGACAAAAGCATCAGTGCTTTCCAGCAACTCTGAGCCATCAAAACAATTGCTATTCACAGATAGAGACATGAGGAAAAAAAAAAAACACAGATAATTTTCAGTTTTACCCTTTGCTGTGGTCTGGGAAGCAACTAAGCTCCCCACAGGGAGCCAAGACTCACCTGCATTTCTTCCACCCATGCCAGCAGCTCATACACAAATCGGAGGCTGCCTTCATCTTCAGAAGAGGAGATGGCCACCAGCTCTGCTCTGGTCATGGGCTTCCGGAACCAGGAGGTAGACGAGGTGTGCAGCCCTTTGGTCAGCGACTCGCCTTTCAAGTGCATCGTGCTCAGCGTGGAGGTGGGTACCAGCTCCAGGGTGGAAAAGTGGCCTTTCCTGTACAGGTTAGTGCACTCGAGTCTCAGCGTCACCAGCTCATCTTGCAGCCGCATGATCCTGGAAGAGCAAACCAGGCACATGTAAAGTCCGACAGCTGGCGAAGAGGAGCCCTGTGCATCAGACATCAGACCCTGACCACACTTCTCCAGCCATAGGCCATCTTGGACACGGCCCTGCTCACCTGAACACCAGCTCCTCCAGCTGGTAGTAATTCTCATCCCGAAGGATCTGCACATCCACCTGTAGCTGGCGGATGAGCCCCTCGCACTCCTGTAGATACATGACCACGTCGGATTCGTACTGCACTGGCTGGCCAGACTCCAGGTGAGCAGCGTCCTGCACCAAGATAAATGAGAATGAAAACTAGGTCTCCTCTGATCCATGCACATGAGCAGAGAGATTGGGATGGTTACCCAACATTGATTTTAAGGCCAGAAGGACCTTGCGACCCTTAAGCTTCACTAAAATCAGGAGAGGGAAAAATACTACCCCACCACTCACAGCTTGCAGTGTGTTCTTCGCGAGAGTGAGTTTTTCTTCGCAGCTCAGAGCACCATTCTGAATTTTGTTAGCGATTTGTAGCAGC